GATCTGCATCTTCCTTGGTGTTGGTTGTTGGTGTGTTTAGTTTCCATCTGTCTTTGTTTTCTATCCATTTCTCTATGTGTTACTTATATAACCAGAAAGTCGCAATTTAAAAACAAGCCCCCCCCCCCCGAGGATTAGGAAGATAGTTCTGTAGGTAAACTGCTTGCCACATGAGCGTAAGGACCTGCGTGTGAGTGCCCGCACCCACATAGAAACCAGGCATGGTGGTGTGCACCAGGAATCCCTGTGCTAGCAACAGGAGGGTCCCTGGACCTCACTGGTCAGCCATTCTAGCTGAATTAGCTTCATATTCAGTGAAGAGAGACTGCCTTAAAAAATAATAAGGTAGACAGTGATTGAGGAAGACACTGGACATAGACCTCTGAGCCTCTGCACCCATACACACTCATAAGTGAACATTCACACTCACTAAAAACCCAGAAGGTCTCCCGCCATCCAGTCCTCACACCTGTGCTTACACACGAAATAAAGATGTTTAGATGGCCACTTAAAAAGGATTCACGGCTGAATCCCCTTTACACAATAAAGTGTGAATACAAGATAAATTCCAAGTTCGCTGGCCTGTCAGCAGGAAAGCTGGCTGGTCTGGGAGCAGTGCCCAGTCTGGTCTCACTGCTCCTCCTGTAAGAACGGGTCCACAGGATGGAATTCGTGTGCCAAGCGTGTTATTTCACAATGAAGGCAGAGCCTCCCACAAACCATGAAAGGGGAAGAGAGACTTCACATGAGCCTCGGCAACAAATCGATGGACAGAAAGCGACTTAAGGAAGGAGGAGTTTGTTTTGCCTGGCGGTTTGAGGGAGGCATGGCAGCTGGGGTGGCGGGAGTTTAAGGCTGCTTGCACACATCACAGAGGACCAGGATCACAGAGAGAGGAATGCCGGCACTTGGTTCATTCTCTCCTTTTCCTCAGTCTGGGACCCCAGCCCGTGATGGCACCATCCATGCTCACGGCTGAGTCTGCCTCTCACACAGACACGCCCAGAGGTATACCTCCCGAGTGACTCCAAACCCAGCCAAACTGACGACAAAGGCAAACAGTCCCAGAGCCTAGGATGTGGCTGACAGGCGTGATCATCACTTTTTATTACTTAAACCACATGTAAATATTAACGGGAAATGCTCATCAAACGGAGATGTGCTGGACCAGACACCACCCGGTGAGCAGCGCCTGCTGAGAGAATAAAAAACCGAGATCAGTTCCGTTATAATCAAGTTTGTCAATAATATGGCTTAATTCTCGGGCCGAAAATGACAGTATCAAGGTTTACTGCTTTTCCCACCACCCAAGCTGATGCCCAGAGCTCAGGCTGCTTTAAACTTTGAAGTTCAAGTGAACTTGCCGTGACTCCGCGGTGAAGCTGATTGTGCAATTCAAAGAGCTGTGGCTCACTTGAGTAGGACTCACAGGGTACACTTCAATCCATGGCCCCTACGACCAGGGCGATCCTGCCAGGACCTGTCATGGAACCCACTGCTGTTTTGCCACAAAAAGAGCCCCTGCTCATAATGGGTTTCCGGAAAGGGTTTTTGAAAGGAAAGTCAGGGCCAACCTCTCTCTGCCCAGCACCGTCTGTGCCTGCTCCTGGTACAAAGGAAGCATTTCAGACTGGAAGTCTGCACACCTAACTGCCTGCCTAACTGGTCCTGCTGCCCAGTCCCCACACCAGCACTGGTCTCAGCTGCCCTGCCAGGACCTCACAAAACTGCAGTGTCACACCGCCGCCCTAAGACTGATTGTGTCGCCCTGTCCTTAAGGAATTGGTGTGAATGGCTGGCAAGATGACTCGGCATTTCAGAGATCTGGCCGTGCGAACCTGAGTTCCGTTCCTGGAACTCACAGGGGAAGGGGAGCTGAGTCACCTGACCTCCACATACACACTGAGAAATGCACGCACACACCTAACAACACACAATAAGACATTTTAAGGAAAAAACCGGGGTGCAATGGCATACCTTTGATGTTCTTCGATGGCTGTGTTTACTTGCACGTGTGTGCATGCATGCAAATATATTTGTATACACGTACACATTTACCTGTAAGTGTTCATGTATGGATTGTGTATGTTGTGTGCATGCATGCGTGTTTATATGAGTGTGGATACGTGTACACATTTACATGTAAGTGTTCATAGGCTTGCATGCGTGTTTGTATGAGTGTGGATACGTTTACATATTTACATGTAAGTGTTCATGTATGGGTTGTGTATATTATATCCATGAATGCATGTGCGTTTACCTGAGTGTAGATACTGGGGGTTGGTACTGAGCACATTCAGCCACTTTCCACCATCTATTTTGAGACAGGGTCTCTTGCTGAAGCTGGAACTTGCCAAGTTTACCAGACTAAGTCTGGCCAGCCTCCACCCTTTCAGCAACTGAGGCTATAGGGTCACACCACCATGCTGCTTTTTACACGGACGTTGCGATCAAACTCTTCACCAAACGAGCCGTCTCCCCAGATTCCACCACAATTATTTCCAAGGAAGGTGGTCGTGACTCCATTCTCTAGTTGGGGCCTGTTCAATTTAGCTAAATTCTGTATCTTTCCATCCCATAGGTTCTAGCTCCATGCTAGAGGGGGCCCTGAAGGCCAGCACTGTTATGTCGTGACATCTCGCTTGTACAAATAAAGCCTGTCTGGGGGGGGGGGTCAGAGAATGGAGCTTGCCACCAGCAGGGAGAAACGGGAAATTTTTCCCTTGTTGGCCGGAGCCAGACACAGAGGGAAACGCGGAGAGATCAGAGAGAAGGAGCAAGCCACAGCCACACCTTACCTCCTCAGTGTCTCCGCAGACAAGAGAGCAAGTTCCTGTTTCTCCCTGCTTATATCCTGTTTCTGCCCAGCGACCCCACTTCCTGTCTGTCTGCACAGACCTCCAGACCTCTATGGTCAGCTGGTGGCAAGCCCCATTGTCTGACCCCCAGACACCCGGACAGGCTTCATTTGTACAAAGAAGGTAACATCACAGCTGTGTTGGGAGGGTAGAAAGGCTAGTAGACTACCCCATTGAGGCTCCAGGTGCAGACAGTTGCAACGGGCCTTCTAAGCAGGCTGCCTCAGTAGGGCCTGTACCCTCACAGCCGGGCCCAGAGGATCTCTAAGACCCTTAGAGAGTCTTTTTTTAGATGGTCACTGATGTCCAGAGCTCAGGACCGTGGGGGAGGTGGACCACAGCTGATGTCTAGAAGGACCCTGGCACGCGTTTGTCAGCACGTCAGAGGAACAGCTGAGCGGTGTCACCAGGGACAGAAGCGACTGCCTCTGCCTTCTACCTACCTGTCACTTGTGTGTGTGTGTGTGTGTGTGTGTGTGTGTGTGTGTGTTTGTGTTAGCACTAACGACTGGCTGAGAGGACTGCCCCGGCTTCTTCAACACCAGAGTGTCCGCGAGCGGAAGGCACGGGTGGGGGCGGTGGGCGGGAGCAGTGGGAAGAATGTAAACCCCTGGCTGGCTATTGGGTGCCCGCTGCTTCATGCTAAGAGGCCGTGTGCCGGCACGCACGCACACGTGTGCACATCTTTTGTAGACGCACTTGAAAACCTATGTCTGCACAGAGCCAACTAAAAGCCCACGATCAGGGCTAAAAGTAAAGCTCAGTGGTAGAGCACTTGGCTAGCAAGAAAGTAAAGAAAGGGGGGGAGGGGAGGAAAGCTGAGCCACACTAATCTGAGGTACAGACCAGGATGGGACCACTACACCCTGCACGAGTCACGCCCTGCATCAGCCGGGCGTGGTCCTCCTAGCATCTCTTCGGGAGGTCTCCTATTTCTGGAGCGAGTGTATTGGTAAGCTGCGGACATCACACAGGGCCTCCAGTGTCAGGGAACGGTCAGAGGCCTCAGCCACCAGCAATAGTGATGTATGGCAAGCACTGGGAAGACAAAGCCTAGAACAAGCCAGGGTCGAACTCTGCTTCCTTTGGTTAACATCGGAGATGTTCAGATTTCATCACAGTTCTGGGTCTAAATAACTTCTGTGTACACCCCGTGTGCCTGGCTCTGGACCGACCCCGTGTGTCCTTCCACGTGTTTGCATATATGCTAAAGGCACACGCCATCTCCCATGCCGGTGTGTGTTATGTCTGTGCCTGGTGGATCGGCGGCACCATCTGAGAATACCATAGTTCCTCAGTAAGCAGGAATCTGTGCGCACTGGAAGGCACTCCCAACCCCGGGGGGGGGGGGTCAGCGGAGAGAGTGTCTTTCTCTCCCTGAGCCTTTGGGAAGCTGATGGTCTGCCTCCTCCCCAGAGGGCCTGGTTAAGGCTGTGTTTCTGGTTCGGCCTCTACCCGGATGGACGGAGGCTTTCCATCAGGACCAAGGCTGGATACAAAGCGGTGTACCCGCAGCTCACCTTTCTCAAGCAGATAACCTCAAAGGTTACTGGTTTGAGAACCAACAGTTCTCTTAGGAAGAGGAGAAGGCGAAAGACTTTCCGCGCAGGGAGTCACCAGCGGAGATACATCCCCCAGGTTCCCTGGCAGCTACATTTAGTTTCTCGAGTATGCATCGCTGTTTTTCTCCTGTGGCTTCATGCGACCTGTGCCTCTCCCTTCCTTGATTTGAAGAGCAAGCGCTGCTCTCAGGGCGGTTTTCAAGCACAGGCTCCCCGCTGCCCCCCTCCCTGCTCCTCCTTGTCCCAGCTCTCCATGCTTCTCAGCACAGCCCCTGCACCCCGTTCCTCCTTGGCCCCCTCCCCCCATCCGGATACATTGTTTCTCGCCAGCTTTGTCGGACTGGGGACTGGCTAAATGTGGCCTGACAGGGATCTGCCTCTTCTCCCCCTCTGGAAGATCACCCTTTGCTCGAGTGCACACCGCAATTCTGAACTCAGTACTGGAGCTTGGTACCCAGGTGGGGGAAAGCACACACATCTCAAGCCAGAAGCAAAAGATGGGGTAGTTGCCGTACTCCCGCCCAGCCTGGCACGGGCCAGTCCTAGATCCCAGGGCCCTGACTCTGTGTGTCTTTTTCAGGCGTACATGGAAGACCACCTGAAGAACAAGAACCGTCTGGAGAAGGAGTGGGAGGCTCTGTGCGCCTACCAAGCAGAGCCCAACGCCTCGCTTGTGGCCCAGAGAGAGGAGAATGCTCCCAAGAACCGTTCCCTGGCCGTGCTGACCTGTACGTACCTAGAGCCTGGGTGACCTAGCGGGGGGGGGGGGAGGAGAGAATGTGGGGGCATCTGTCTGTGATTTACTCAGTCCGCCATCACGGCCTGCCAAGTCCCCCAGCTCTACTCCATCTCTTGTCTGCTGAGCTTGTCTTGCTCCCCGCCGGCAACTGTCCCCGTCCCCTTTTTGATTCAGTGTCAGAGCCCTGAGAATGCCAGATGGGGGCACAGGAGCCATAATGGGCACTAGCACCGTTTGCTCTAGTGTGGGAAACCTATGGGACGCTCTGTGAACACGTGGGGCTGTGGTTACAGGCATGGTGAGAAACACAGAGCTATGCATCACAGCTTAGCATTAACCGTGGTCACTGGCATCACTGGTACAATGCTGCCACAAACCTTGAAGGCTCCACTCCGGCTGGGGGGGGGTCACTGCAGTCCCGAAGCCACTCCACTGGAGAGGGACTTAGTTCCCTACTATGTGCTTAAGGTGTACCAGGTGGCCATGCAAGATACAGAGCCTCTGGTGTATGGACTGGGTGTGTACCTCTTCATAGCACCCGGCCTCTCCTCCACATCAGTGGCCGTGGGTATCCGCAGGTCCTTCCTAGGCCAGGTTTGGATTTTGACTAACATGAGCCCACCCAAGGAAGCCCTCAGTGAGTGACCAAGGTCTCCCCTATAAATAGGCACTTGATAAACTTTGGTCTGGTTGGTGACGAATAATGAATGTGAATAACTCAGCTGCTCTTCTGCCTCAAGACAAGAGGTACCCGTTCGTATCCCGGAAATAATAAAATGAACTTTGCTAGCCAGGGTTTTGAGAGCCTCGCCCAGCCACGCTGGTCTTGGTCTCAGGTTAGCATCAAACGAGTCTGTAGAATGAGGGTCCTTGATGAGATGGCAGAGAGCGTCCATGTCACTGAACCCCCAACCTGGGGCTTTGCGGCATCCTGCCCAGGGGCATCCGGGGGACTCTCATCCTAATAGCAGAACTCCATAGCACCTGCTTCAGTGAGAACCCCTTGGCTGCACCTTAGAGAAAATGTAAGAGTTTGGCCTGAGCTTCAAGTCATGCAGAAGAATGGCAAACCCTTAGAATCCAGACCACCCTCCTACTTGTGGACATTTGCTGACGCGTCCACCCTGTGCTTACATGGGGTCAGACCATGCTCCAGTTTAGACAGCTATGATCAGAAAATGTTGCAACTTGCATGTTTTCTGTTTAGAAGAAAAGCAGCATAAAGCATGACCAACCAACAAGCAGGTTTTGTTAAAGCACCAGCTACATCAGAGACTGGTGACGGGTGCTGGATGGTGAGGACGGGCCGCTGTCTGTCCCTAGAGCGGAGTTGGGATGGATGAGTATGGGGGCAGGGGGTGGGGGTGAGATGAAGAGTGGGGGGGAAATGGGACAGAAGGCATCTGACTGTGCTCCCCAGGACGTGCCCTCTGGTAAGGATCTGGCACCGCTGCAGCAGCTGTGGTGGGGGGGGGCGGGGACCAGGGCCCTTGGGCCTCTGTGACAGGCAAGACGCTCAGCCCTGTCTGCCCGCGCTAGAATAAGGCAGAGAGGATAATGCTTCTAGGCGTGCCTGGAAAATGACTAGTGCCACCTCCTGGTGCCAACCAATGGGACTCTGCCACCCAGCTCTCAGCTGTACCGGGTGTGAAAAGCTTGAGCCCTAGCATCACCAGGGCAATCGGTTTCTCCAGCTACAGGAACCCCCCAGCCAGTGGCGAGTGTTTCTGATAGGGGCCAGTCCCTTACTCCCCGGGGTGTGTGGAGACCCTTTTCCAATTTCCCCTCCTCCCTCCCAAGCAGTGCTCCCCCAGCTTGCTGACCCCTGTTCCAGACTCTGGGGAATCCCCCCCCCCCCCAAGTCTTCCAACCTGCTTTCCCTCTAGCTTACTAACTGGGTTGGCCCTGCCAGCGTCGAAGGACGCTGAGGAGCATTTCCCCACCATGCGGCTCTGCTTGTGAGAGCGCATGCTGATAGTCCTCCCCTCCATAGGAGGGTGAGTGACAGGAAGGGGGATGCGGCTCCCCAGCCCTCTGCACTTCCTGTCGGGGTGCCCTTTGGTGTCTAGGAACAAAACAGACCCACCATCTGTCACTCTGAATGTGTAGCCTCTCAGGTCTCCTTCATCTTTTACCTTCATCCAGGCGCTCCTCCCAGGCTCCCAGGCTCCCAGGCTCCCAGGCTCCCAGCCTCCAACTCCCCTTGGGGTGCAGCCTTCTGCTCCATCACCCCTCTACCCCAAGTCTCCCTGTCAATCTTCCTCCCGGAAGCTCCCCCTGCACTTACCCTGTGTCCCCACGCTGCTGTTGCAAGACGGTCTCACTACTCTCCCCAGGAAGAGCCCCACCCACGCTATCCACCCGCCCCCCAGCCCCTTTGCTGGTGTGGTTCTGTCAAAACCCCTGCCCTGGCTTTCCAGCACCGGGCCTGTGAGGTGGCAAGGGACATAGGAGAATCACAAGTAGGAATGCCAGTGACAGCCTACACTCTCCAGCGCCATTAAATTCTCACTTACAAGGCACCTGGCTGGCATGTGACTACATCTAGTTGCATCTGTTGCTGGAGGTTTCTTTTTAACCTGGTCCCTACAGCCACCGTTCAGCCCCCAAATAAACACACAGACGCCATATTAGTGATAAAACTGTTGGCCAGTTTCCAGGACTTCTTACTGGCTAATTCATGTGTTTCTACATGGCCTTATCTCATCAGAGAATGTCTGGCTCAAATCCTATCTTCCTACTCTCTACATAGCATCTCTTCTCAGTTTCTCTCTGCCTACCTTTCCCAGAATTCTCCTCGTCTCCTAGTCCCACCTATCTCCCTGCCTCTATTGGCCAAACAGTGTCTTATTAATCAACCAATAAGAGAAACACATATACAGAAGGACGCCCCCTGCCAATCATGCATTCTCTTGGAACTTTGAAGGACTTCATAGGCCTTTGCTGGTTCTGTGCATGGTTACAGAGGATTATGCAATTGCTACAAAACCCGCAGCAGAAATTTAACAACGCTGTCTTGGCATACTACTTTAGATAAATGAAGGAAATTTTGTCTTTGAATTATGATGATTCTAAAGCCAGGAGGGAGAATGTTTCTTGGGACAAAACCAAAGAGAACTAAGAGCTGGAGACCCAGGTGTGCAACAGCGAGGGTCTGGCGCAGAGTGGCTTCCCGTCTCATGCCGGGGTAGTGCCGAGAACCAAGCTCTGTTGTTCTAGGGGCTGAGTGGATGTGGTGTGCAGCCAGCTTGCTCCCGTGGTAGGACATTCTCCGCCAAGCTCTGTTGTTCTAAGGACTGAGTGGATGTGGTGTACAGCCAGCCTGCTCCCTGTGGTAGGACATCCTCCCAGGTTCCCTCCCAGGTACCCCATCCTCACCCCCTAGTTTTTGGCAGGTGTTTGCTCCTCAGAGTAACACAAATAAATAACTGGTGTTGGGGTTCAAGCTTCAAGCTGAAGATCAGAAGCAGAGCAGCCAAGCCGCTAGCTCTCACCTCTAGCTCAGGCTGAAGGGGCTGATACACTCAACGAGCTCTTCCCCAAGCCTCAGACTATAACCTCTCCTCAGCGTGGCTGGAGAACCGAATGCCTCTTAACCGAGACCTTGCTTCTGTCTTACATACTTCCCTGATGTTGGGATTAAGGATGCGAGCAGTAATCCTCTTTTAGGCCAATGCACTCTTGTGTGGATCTGGCTAGCCTTGGACTCCCAGAGATCCATCCGTCTCTAAATCCTCAGTCCTAGGACTGAAGTTGTGTACCACCACCTCCTAGCTTCTGGCTGCTGGGATTAAACGTGCGTTCCCGGCCTTTACAGCTCGTGGCCGACTTTGCTTTCTGAATCCTCAGGCAAGCTTTAATAAATCATAAATAATAATATCACTACCCCTCAGTCCTAGCTTTCTTTTTTTTTTCTGAGACAGGGTTTCTCTGTAGCTTTGGAGGCTGTCCTGGAACTCACTTTGTAGACCAGGCTGGCCTCGAACTCACAGAGGTCCTCCTGGCTCTGCCTCCCGAGTGCTGGGATTAAAGGCGTGTGCCACCAACGCCCGGCAGTCCTAGCTTTCTTACACACCACACAGACAGACAGAGAATACACAGCTACATTTGTGTGGGACTCATACGGCCATGCTGACGCACTTCCACGTTGCCACCGGGATCTGAGGTTGTTTCCCCAAAGGTGGTTGTTAGCCCCCAGGACGCGAGCCCTGCCCAGCCATCCACGGTTAGCGAGCTATAGCAGAGGAGCCGTACTCAACATCCTACTAGAGGGAACCTTGTTAAATCTCAGAGATTCTGCCCCCTGCCTGGCTCTCCACGCCACCACCTCTCTTGGGCTTCACTGCCTACTTTCCCCCAACATTTCTCTCATCCTCAAGTCACCGGTAAAAGGAGAGAGTCAATGCAGAAAATGGTGTCTGCACACACACCCCCACTCCTCTGTGCTGGCTGGGATCCATCGGGCATCCTCTGGGAGAGGTCTAGTTGTAGCCTGTGCCTGCTGCGGTCTAGCGACGTGAAACACACGGAGACCCTGACAGTGCTAGCTTGAGCTTGTCTAAATATGTACAAACTGTGTGTAGCCGACGTCAGCCAGGAACTCCCCTATGTCTTTCTTGTGACAGCAGTGCTGGTTTCAGCACTGTCCCCACTGCAAGTAGAAGAGCTCGAGCTAAGGGAGCTGCCTAATCCGCCCGAAGTTGGAAGCTAGCCTTCACCCTCAGACGACTGCCTGTAGAACTGACCCAATCGAACCTGCATGCTGTTTCCCAAGGACTCTCCTTACAGTGCCTTGGCATGGTGCCCCCACACACACTTCCCAAGACCATCTTAAAGCCCCACTCTCACCCCGCTGAAATCACTTGGCAGTTACCCACAAACTGGCTCTAGGCTCAACCACTCCAATGCACTCCAATTCGGCATAGCAGTGTAGTTCCCTGGGAATCTTATTCTGGTCCAAGGGATGAGTTTATTGTAGGCGTAATGGCG